AGGTCTGCGATCTTGATCTTGATCTTGTCTGCATTTTGGGGCTCTAGGGGATTCACCAGGAGGTTCGAGGCACCAAACGGTGCTGGAGAAGGAAGAGAAGTGGGGAGAGACTGAGCCGGCCGGGCACCACTACCCTGCCTGCCGGCTGCCTGCCCCCCCCCCCACGGAGCCGGGCTGCAGGCCCTACCCAACTTACTGCTGGGGGACAGGAGGCCCCCGGTCTCCCGCTGGTTGGAGGAGCCTGAGAGGATGGAGCATGAGGCAGGCGAGAAAAGCGAGCCCGAGAAGCCTGAGGTCTGGGAGCCTGGGCTGAGGCTGCGCTCTCCCCCTGCGGCAGGGGAGGAGGAGGCAGGGGACGGGCTGGCCCTGGCCCCTCCGGGGTGGCAGCCAGAAGAGGAGGTGGAGCCGCTGCCCCCCTCTAGCCTCGAGCCTGCATCTGCAGAGAGGGGCAGAGGCACTGTGTGAGCTGACGGTCCCCGTGGCCTGCCTGCCCCGGGTGGGGGGACTGCGATTCCTGCTTCCCCCCAACCCCGCCGGCTCACCCTCCGACTGGGCTGCCGCTTCCAAGGCCTCCAGCCTCTGCAGGTCCCGCAGCCGCTCCTCCAGCAACCGCTTCTGCTGCCTCCGTTTGCGCCGCATCTTCTTCCTCTTGTTTTTCGACAGCTTACCGGTCTGCCAGTAGAGCCAGGGTCACCCCGGCCCCCGCTCCCCGCGGGTCCCTTGAGCAGCCCAAGCCTCTGCCTGTGGCCTGCCTGCCTAACAGGGGCCCAGGCTTCCAGGTCCCAGAGCTACTTTGTTTGTTTTTAAAGATTTGGTTTATTTATTTATTTGACAGAGACAGCAGGAACATGAGCAGGGAGGGGGAGAGGGAGAAGCACGCTTCCCCCGAGCAGGCAGCCCGATGTGGGGCTCCATCCCAGGACCCGGGGGTCATGATCCGAGCGGAAGATGGATGCCCAACGACTGAGCCCCCCAGGTCCCCCCGCCCAGGACTACTTGGGATGACCACACGTGGTGCCACCCAACTCCAGCCCACCCCTTGGCACTAGCCCTTCGTCTGCCTCCTGTCTCCCTGCCCCCACTCTGCTCCCCAGAGCTCAAGTTTGGGGAGGAGCCAAGGGACCTCCCTCTGGCTGGGCGCTGGCCTCTCCTGGGGGCAGCCTGGGCCCTTTCTGGCTGACACCGTGTCTTTGTACCGAGGCAGTGACAAGCCCAGCAGCCCCCAGCGGCAGTTCAGGGCCTGTGACCCACCCCTCGCATCACCTGCATCCCTGAGGGGACAGGGAGGTAGGGAGGCGGCAGGACCAGAGAGGCCGAGGAGGGAGCTCTGAGGAGATGGGGAGATGAGGCCCAGGGAAAGAGGGGCACCCCAACTTACCAAGACCTCCTGGGGGGCAGTGCTGACTGGGGGGGCAGGTGGGGTGTTGGGGGAGAGAAAGGAACAGAGATTCAGGCAGGGGCGGAGGCCCACAGCCCACCCCTCGCCCATGCTGGGCTGCTGCTACCTGTGGAGCGGGATGGGGGCGGGGCCCCCGCCTGCTGCCACTCCGTGGCCTCCGTGGCCAGGCGCCTGATGTAGGCGTCACCCACGCACAGCAGGATGTTCTCGGGCTTGATGTCCGTGTGGATGATCTTGCACTTGGTGTGCAGGTAGTCCAGGCCGTGCAGCACCTGGGGAGAGCCCCTCCCGCACCTCAGCGGCCGGGCGGGTGGCGTCACACCCCGCCTCTGTGGAGCCCTTGGCGCTCACCTGCCTCACGATGCTCTTCACACATGGCACGGGCAGGCCCTGGTAGTTGGACTTGATGATCCACTTGAGGAGCTGGTGGCCCAGGACCTCCAGCACCATGCACACATCTGAGGCCAGGAGTGAAGGGTGGCTGGTAGGTCCACAGTTGCGGTGTGGGCCCCACCCACCCGAGGCTCTGGTGTCAGCACAGTGTCCCTGTCCCTCTCAGGTGTGCCCGTTGGGATGCTGCCTCCTGTGCTCATCTCTGAGAGAGGACACCACAGCGGCGGCGGCCCCACGGGTAACCAGTGTCAGCCTGGTCATCCAGCCCCCGCTCCCCCCAGCCACATAAACACAGGGCCCCAAAGCGGCGGGCTTTTGTAGACTAGTGTCCCTGGGAGGCGCAAGCCCCCCTCGTGCAGGTCGTGGGGACGGAGGCCCTAGTGGCAGGGACAGCAGGAGCCGGCGCTCTTGCTGCTGCACCACCCGTCCATCGTACGAAGGATACGGACTCCGTTCACCCCTGAGATCCGGAAGTCATCGATGAGCTGGACAATGGTCTCTCTCTTGGGGTCACTGGGGTCACTGTCTCGGACCTGGAGCAAAGGGTCCCTGAATGGCTCCAAGCTGCTCCTTCGGCACCCCCGGGGCGCTCCCGCCCGCCTCTCTCCCTCCCTGGCCTGCTTCGGGTCCTCCCGGCCGGCGCCAGCTGGAGCCTGCCCGGCGGGAGCTCCGCCCTGCCCGGAGGGCGGCGCCTCACACATTTCAGGAGCTTGATCTCATCCACCGCCGTCTCGGTGTAGTGCCCCGCGCTCTTCACCACTTTCAGGGCCACGAAGCGCTTGCGCCTGCGACACCAAGCCCTGTGTCGGCTGCCGCCCCGGCGGGATCCGTGGGGCATCATGGTGGCCCCAACCAAGCCCAGAGGCAGGCTCCCAGCGGGCCCTGGGCCCTGAGCGGGGGGCGGGGGGGGCACTTACTGGATATCCCAGCAGAGCCAGACTGTGGAGAAGTGGCCCCAGCCCAGCTTGCGCACCACGTGGTACCGCCCATTGAACAGGTCCCCGATCTTCACGGGGTAGTAGCCGCCTGGGGAAGGGAGTCCGGACGGCAGGGTGGGCGGTGGCGCCTGCCTGGTTGAGGGGGGTGGCCCGGAAGAGCCCAGCCCCGCCGGCTCCCTGGCCCACGTGGGCCGGCCTCAGCACCCTCCTCCTCCCGGGCTGCCCTGTGTCCGGCGGCCTGCCGCCCAAGGCCAGGCCTCACCCTTGCAGTAGTCCTTGGGGTCCTCCTGCTCCTCGTCATCGGAGCCCAGCAGCCCCTGCAACATCCGCGGCGCCGGCGCGGCGGGGGCGAGTTCGGAGCCCGAGGACTCAGGCCCGCAGGAGGCCTGTGAGCTGCGGGTGGGGTGAGCGGTCGGCAAGCAGCCAAGGCGCCGATCCCCCCCCTACCACCCTCCGCCCCGGGCGCCCGGGCCGAGCCCTACCTGCTGCTGCTGCCGCTGTCCCCGCCGCCGCCGCCGCCGCCGCCGCCACCAGCGCTGGCGCTCATCCCGGCTGCGCAGTCCCGCAGCTCCCGCGCCCCAGGCGGCTGCTCCTGTGGGGCCCGGCTGCGGCCGCGCATTTATAGCCTCGGCCGCTGATCTCACCCGCCTTTATAAATAGCCTCCCAGCTGCTCGGCTGTGGGCAAGGTATGCGGCGGGGAGGAGGCGGTGCGGCCACCATGGCCGGGGAGAACCTGGCCCCCAGGACCAGCCGCCTCCCAGCCGCTCCCCAGCCGCCCCCGCCCAGGGGCTGGCCTAGGGGGCCATGGTGGGGACGAGTACAACCCAGCCTCCAGGCTCAGGCCCCGCACCAAGGGGGACCCCCTACGGTCCCTAGGGGGACACCCACTCGAGGATGTAGCAACCCAGTCCCTAGGCTAAGCCCCTGTGGCCCAGGGGTGGCAGAGGGGGCCCACTGAGTGGGGACGTCTCAGCAACGTGCTTCCCAGGCCGAGTCCCCACACTCCAGAGCTGGAGTCGGCTGAGGGGGGCAGTGGAAAACCTGGTCCTCAGGGGGAGCCCTCCCTGGCCCGCCCTGCATATGCCCTACAGCACCAGTGACACTTTTGGAACAATATCTGGCTTCTTGCTTGGCCCTTGTGGTAGCCTTTCCAGAGGTGACTCTTCCCATTCCCATGGGTACCTCATTCCCTGCCTCCTCTCAGTGGGGTTCCCACTTCTCCCACGGCTCATTGACCCGTTAGACAGGCAGGAGCCCTCTTCTCCCTCAACATGCTGTCACTGGGGATTCTGGATGAATGAGTCAGGGACATGAGCTGAAGGCAGCTGGTTCCTCCCAACAGAGGTGCCTGGACAGTGTCAAAGCCTGGGAACCTGCCCGCTCAGGACCCTAGCGCTGACACCATGCGGCCTCCCTTCCACCTCCTTGTGGGAGGCACAGGGAACCAGGCACCCTGGCCCTGTCCTCGGGGACCCAACAAGCCCACAGCTCTAACATGGGGCCAGGAAGACTCGGCTCCCCAGAAAGGGGTGGGTGAGCTTCTGGGGTGGCGCAGGGCGTGGCTGGTGCAAGGCCTATAGCCTGATGGACCGGAGACCTCTTGGGCCACAGAGTGGCTGGGGTTGGGGGAGAGATGGGGAGGCCTTGGGCAGCTGAGGGTCCTACCCAGTGCCCGTCGGCACTGGTGTGAGAGTCCCATGAAGGCTGAGGGGCACTTTTCTCTTTAGAAAGAGCACTCTGGCTGTGGCCAGGAGGGAACGGAGGGCACAGTGTGGAGATAGGAGGCCAGCTGGGGACTGTCAGGGAGTCAGAAGCAGAGGGGCCTCGGCAGTGACTGTGGTTAGCCCAAGGTAGGAGATGCTTGGTTCTGTCAGCCCTGGGCCAGGAAAGAATTGGTAGGGTGGGGTGGGCATACATGGAGGGGGGTGGGCCGGGGGAGGAGATGGGAGAGGGGAGAGCAAGGCCTGGGAGTGCCTGATGACTCCTCTTCCTCAGGCACAAGTCATAGCCCTGGGGCTGAGGGGAGGGCCAAGCAAGGGAGCGCTGCGCAGGCAAAGGCAGGGGCTGGGGACTGGGCTTTTTCTAAAAAGATGTCTTTCTATTTTATTTCCAGATGTGATTCTCCAGCAAGCAAATAAATACAGTGGGGAGGTGGGGGGAAGAGGTGAGGATTACTATAAATTAGAAAATAGCCCGGGTGGGGGAATGCGGGGCGAGGCGCAGGTGGGGGGAGGCCGCAGGGAGACCCCTGGCGGGCAGCACCCGGCCGCTCTTCGCCGGCCCCTCCTCAGCTGCTGGCTCCGTCTGGGGGTCCTCAGGCACTGCGGTGGGGGCTCCTGCTTGCTCCTGCCGGGGTTGCTGGGCCTCAGGTGTCCGTGGGGTTCGGCGCTCACAGGTCAGTCACCTTGTTCTCCACCAGGGCAGCGACCTGCTGCAGGCGGCAGGCCAGCTGCATCTTCTGAGCCACGGGGTCCTCCTCCAGGGCACTGATGATCTGCCCAGGGAACAGAAGGGCGGCCTGCCTGAGACCTCTGCCCTCAGCCTGTAGCCCAGGGCTGGGCAGCCCCGGACCGTCTCAGCAGTGGCTTGGGGATCGCTGGGGCCGCCCCAGGCCTCCCCGGGCATCTGGGCTGGGGCCACGCCTCTTCCCCCAACTGCGCCCTTCCTCTCCTCTGCCCACATGGGCCTAGACACCTCCTTCCAGCCCCAGGGAGATTCTGGGGCCTCCCTCCGGGCTCAGGGGGCGTGCCCCTCCCCCTCCCGGCCGCCGGGCCTCACCTGGTCATAATACCTGTGGATGTGCTTGTACAGTTCCTGCAAAGCCTCCAGGCAGTGGGGAGCTGAGGCGTAATTCTGGGGACCGCACATGGAGAGGTGAGGCTCAGCCCGGACCTTAAAGCCCACCCCCACCCCCGCGCGCACCGCGAGGCGGAGGGCTGTGCCCCCTGGGCCATGCCTTACCCCGGAGAGCTCAGCCAGCGCCGAGTTCATCTCCTGATAGCTCGCGGCCGAGCTCTGGCGGATGTCGGAGTAGTATCTGGCGGCGGAGACCCGGTTAGGGGCGGGCAAGGCGGGAAGCCCCGCCCCCGAGCCCCGCTGTCCCAACACTCACCTCTCCACCATCTGCTTGTAGCGAGGGATCTCGCGGGCATAGAGCAGTTTGTTCACCGGGGAATCCTGCTCTGGGTAGGAGTGGGCCTGAGCGGGGAGGCGGGGGGAGCTCCGGCCCTGTCCCCCTGACAGCACCGCCAGTGCCCCGCGGCCCGCCCATCTCCCCAGCCCGGCTCGGGGCTGCGCACGGAGAGTTCTGTGGCTTCCTCCCTGAGCCCTTCCTCCTTGGGCCTCGGTCTGTCGATGCCAGCTCTGCGCTTACCCTGCCCACTTTATGCTCGGAGACGGTGCACGAGTCGATGAAGGTCTGGGCGATGACGGCGAGGACGGCGTCCACGTTGTCGGACACCCGCACGTCAAAGATGAGCTGTGGCTTCTTCAGGGCGTTCACCCAGAACCGCAGCAGCAGGCTGGGGACACAGGCCCGCCGCGCGCATCATCGGCCGGGCCGGACCCGAGTCCCGCGGGGGGCTGTCTGGCACGTCCATGTCAGAAACGCAGGGCAGATGCCACCAAGCTTGGGCTCGGGTCCTGGCCCTGTGGCCCCGCCCCTGGCCCTGAGGCCCCGCCCCCAGCGCGGCCAGCCCTTAACCTCCCGGGTTCCGCCTGTCCTGCGCGCGGGCTAGTACCTGTTGGTTTTCCAGATGTGCAGGGTCTCCGGGTCCTCAATGCCGTGCTTGCCCGCCAGCTCGTCCAGGAGGTCGAACAGGTACTTGACGGCGATGGGCACGGGCCTGTTCACGCTGAGGATGGCCTGGAAGGTGTCATCCACGAACTTCTGCAGCGTGCCCTGGAAGGCAGGGGGCGCGGTGTGGGATGCCGGACGTTCCCCCGGGGACTCAGGCCACCGGGCTAGCTCTCAGGACCACGCCCTCCCCCCAGCTCAGTCCCAGCCCCCGCCCCCATGGGCCCTCCCAACCAGGGGGCTCCCCTGGGGTGCAGCTCCCCAGCCACACCAACCTTCATGGACAGCAGGCGGGTGAGATAGATCTCTGGGATCGCCTTGGCCCGTGCCCGCTCCCGGTCCCGCTCCCGCAGGCTGCCTCGCCGTTCCTTAGCTCCTTCTGGCTCCTCGGTGGCTTTCACCAGGTGCCAGAGGCGGACCCCACCCTCCTCACCGTCCTCCAGCATGGGAACGTCTGAGGGCCCAGAAGTCTGGCCTCAGTCCTCAGCCCCTGCCCCCTGTCCCACACCACAGGCCGGGGACGCCCAACCCGCTCACCTAGCCGGGTGAGGCAGGGCTGCGGGAGGCGCGGAAAGCTCAACACCCCGGGGCCCCAGAGCTCCCCAACCAGGATGAGCTGCTGCCCTCATCCGCCTCAGGTCCCTGGCCCAGCCTAGAGGTTGTGCTCGCCCCCTGGCAAGGTGCGGTGGACACCCAGGCAAGGCGGATGGCAGGACTGGGACTCCCACCTGCCTACTTCGAGCTCTGGGGCCATAAGACTCACTCTCCCCCAAGGGGCAGCTCTGGGCCAGGCTCTGGGAGACGGCTCGTCCGTTGTGCAGCTGGGGGATGAGCCCCACGGTGGCTCCGTCCGGGACCTGGCAGGAAGGCGAGCGGAGGCTGGGCTCCTTCCCTGGCTGATGGGGAGGCGGGGGCAGCCCCCCAGCCCCCGGCCGCCCGGCACCTTGTAGTGCTGCAGGGTGTTAAGTCTCTTCCAGCGGTTCTGGGTCACCGAGGTCAGGTCCTCATCGGACAGGGTTAGGTGGCCAGCAAGGCCCGAGCGCCACTCTGGGGGCACCCGGGGAAGCCGGTGAGCCTGCAGCCTGTGCCCCGAGCCTGCACTGGTGGTGTATTCCGGGTGACAGGGCCCAAGCTCCCCCTTCCTCCCAACCCCCGCCAGCCTCCCTCCCCATCCCTGCCGGGGCAGTGCGGGGCTGAGCACCTGCGGGTGGTGACAGCCCCAGGCAGGGATGGGCGGGTAGGTTCTCTCACCGAGATCTAGGACGTGCACTGAGGGCCTCTGGGAGAAGGGGGTGCCCTTGTAGACTTGGTCCAGCACCTTCTCTTTGACCTGGGTGATGGTGTCTGTGTCGAGCACCCGCGCGGGCACGCGCTGCGTGGCGCTGCTCCCTGCTGCCCCACCGGCCCCGGGGCCCACCAACACCATCAGCGTCAGGGGCCGGAAGTCCACGTCCTCCCGAAGCAGGCGGCTGTCGTTCAGGGTCCGTTTGGCCTTGCCTGTCACGGCATCCACGGGGCCCTTGTCCACCTGGTACTGTATGGCCCGCAGGAGCAGGTACAGCGGCTCCCCGGCCACCTCCTGCAGCGGGCACAACGAGACAGGGAAGGGCAGTCGGCTGCTCGCAGGGAGGACAAGGACGGCCGGCCCGACATCACACCCAGCCCTCCCGGAGGGCTCACACCCCAGGGCCCCTGGGGGAACGGGGGGCCCAGGTCAGCGGGGCAACAGGTGGCAGCTGTGAAAGGAAGCAAGGGGAGAAGGTGTCAGCCGGGCTGACCCTGACCTTCAGGAAGGTGTAGAGGCAGATGGACAGCCAGTTGGTCAGCAGCTTTTCCACCATGGTCTCCGTCCTGGAGGGAGTGGGCCCCAGGTCAGAGAGGGGGTGCTGCAGGGCCCCTGCCCCCGCCCCAGGCCCTGGGCTGAGCTTTTCCACCTGTCAGCCCTTTGTGCCCCCTGTCCCTGGTAAGGAGGCCCGTCTACCTCCCTCCCACCTGCCCCGCCCACCCCTGCTCCATGGGGAGCCCCCCCACCCCCTGCTTCCAGAGCGCATGGCCGGGCTTGCCGACCTGCGCAGCATGAGCTTGGGGTTCCTGTGCACGTAGTGGGCGGCCAGGTCACTGAGCAGTGTCCGCAGGATGTCGGTCAGGTACTCCAGCTTTCCATGCAGCGCCAGGGACAGCAGGGAGGCCACGTGGCAGCGGTCCCGCTGGGAGAAGCCGGGCTGCCCCTCCAGGGTGCGGATGAGCTGGGGGGCAGGGCGCTGGCACTCAGGGGCGCCCCACGCAGCGCCCTGCCTTTGTGCTCGCCCAGCCCCACCGCCCGGCCCGGCCTGCGCCCCTCCAGGCCCCCCGACCGCCCGCACAGCCCTCACTGTGAGGAGGAAGAGCTTGCTGTTGAGCAGGTTGGAGAGCTGCGTGAGGCCCTGGCGCACAGGGACACGGCGGGCCTCTTCCCCGGGCCCCTCGAGGGCGGGCTGCAGCGGGCAGCTGCCATGCCCTGGAAAGAAGACGCGCTCGGCATAGGTGTGGTAGTCCAGGAATGGGATCCCACTGGCCTCCAGGTCGCTGCTGAGGTCGGTCATCTCGGTCATCAGGTCTGTGGGCCAGGAGGCACTGAAGTGTGGGCTCAGGCCCAGGTGGGTCCTCTGTCCCCCTCCCTGTCGCCCTCTCCCCACCTGTGAACTCCTTGCGGCACTGGTCGCCTACACCGATCTCTAGGTTCTCCAGCTGCACCAGAACCTTCTGATAGTCCCGCAGGGCCTGCTTGCTCTTGTGCCTGCGGCCCAGGGACCAGGTATTAGCCACAGGCCCGAGCCAGCCGGGAGCCCGAGGCCACCAAGCCAGGGTGGCTGGCGGCCTGGAGGCCTGCCATGGTGCACCTTTCTGAAAGTGAGGAGGGTGGTGGGCACAGGCATGACGGGGAGGAGCCTCTCACCTGTACATGAGGCTGAGCAGCAGGACGGCGGCAATGAGCACTGCGGCGCCCATGCCCAGGCCCACCTGGGCCTCTACAGGGAAGGGAGACAGGGCGGGCTCGGTCTCATACTGGACGGGGCCCAGGGCCAGGCGCACGTTGCCCATCTGAACCTGGGGCGGGGGGCGGGCAGGGCTCCTGAGTGAGAGGGCCTCTGGGGCCCTGGTGCCCAGCCACCTCTGCGCCGGGAGCCCCCCCTCACCACGAACTGCGGCAGGGTCCCCGAGCCGTTAGTGGGCTGCGGGGCCCGGGGCGGCGGCTCACAGTACAGGTGGGTGAGTGTAAGAGTCTTCACCAGGCACTCGCCGTCGCCGATGTGCACGCGCACTTCCTCCTTGCTGATGCCCAGGTTGAGGCCCTGGCCCTGGGACAGAGAGCAGGGGCCTGAGCCGGGGCCCCCGTCCCCTGCCCGTGGTCCCCACGCAGAGGCGGCCCGCGGAAGAGCTCACCTCCACATCCAGGACGTTGCCCGGCTTGACACGGTAGGGGCGGGCGGGCTCCTCGCGGCTGAGGGGGGCCAGACGGGGGTTGGGCTGGTACAAGAAGTCCTGGCCCCCGCTGGCACTGGCAAAGTCTACGTGCACATTGTCCAGGGCGAAGAAGACCCGCCGCGGGTGCGCCCCGTCTGGCACGGCGGGGCTGTGGCACACCAGGAGGCCGGACGAGTTGACGGAACAGACCGTGGAGCACTGCGAGGCAGCGGGGCCCGGGACGAGGAGGGGTGAGCTGGGGCTTCCTCGCTCGCTCCCGGGGGGGCAAAATGGGCCCCCATCCGCACCCCGCACCCCCGCCCCCCAGGCACGACCGGCCCCGCTGCCTGCCGGTGGGGTGCTCACCTGCAGCAAGCCCCCCTCGAGCGGGATACAAGCCTGGGGGGCCACAGCAGGGGCCCCGCAGCTCCTCCTTGGGCTGGGATCCGGGGGCTGGGCTACCCGCGCCTGCACCTCTGCTGTCGCCTCCAGCCACACGGACAGCAGGGGCTGCTGCACCACGTCTAGGCCGGTGCCCCTGACGCGGATCAGCCGCCCGCCCCTGCGTCAGGTCGCAGTCAGCAGCCACACGGGTGGCAAGCGGCCCGGCCCAGCCCCACCTCCCCGGGGAAGGAGCCCAGGACGCCTGGAGCGCCAACCCAGTCCTCACCCCCGGAAGCTGACGCTCGGCTCGGCAGCCACGAGCTGGGGGTTGGCCGTGTACTGGAAGGGGCTGGCGGGCAGCGTGCGCTGGGCGTGGCCGAAGACCACGCGAACCACTGCTTCTCCTGGGCTGGTCTGGGACATGGTGTGGCACACGATGGACTCAGGACACACCGGCTCCTGGCTACGGGGGCGGGGGAGGGGGAACGGCTCTGGCATCTTGAGCTCTAGCCTGGGCCTGGCTACCCCACCAGAGACCCACATTGCCTCCCTCAGTGAGGACAGAGACCATTAGGGCACAGTGGCCGTTCCTCTTGGACTTTGACGGTGGCCTTAGGGAGCCCTGAACCCACTGTCGCCATGTACACAAGGGGGTAATGAGGCTCCCAAGGATACCCCCAGCTGACAGCCCCCAGCTTGGGACCGGGAGGAGAGATACTCACATGGGACAGGGCTGTTCACCCACGAAGGCACTGATGTCGCCCCCTGTCTGGAGGTGCTGCCCGTGGATAGTGAGCTGGGTACCCCCTGCCTGGGGGCCCCACTGGGGACTCAGGCTCAGCAGGATGGGGTCCTGAGGGACAGAGCAGGCTGGGGTGCCAGACACTTGCTCCCTTAGGCTCTGGGCCCCAGGGCGCCAGGGCTTTCTCCCGTGGGCCATAGTTGACCACACCCTCCTCCCAGAAGCCTCACAGCTCTCCTTTGCCCTGAGAGGGGCTTGTCTCTCCTCACTGCATCTCTGCCCCTCAGGACGGCCTCTTTCTCTGCTACAACTTACTCTTCCCAGGCCCCCCCGAACTCTAAATCGTGAGATCCAATCGCCAACTTGGGGTGCTGTCGGACTACTGCTCTGCCCTGCCTCCCGCTGCTCCCCCCTGCACTTCCTGGCTTCGGCTAGTGCCTCAAAGTGTCCCCGTTCTCCCTCGGTCCCACCCGCCTGCCACACTGGCTGCTTCCACTGTCCCACTGGTGTCCCTGGCCCGTCCTCCACTCGGTGGCCAGGATGATCACTCAGACAGATCACCTGGTTTTCCTTCTGGACACATGCCAGCTCTTCCTGCTACCCGGGGCCAACTTTGAAATCCTCACTTAGGCTTCCCTCCTACTATATCCTGCGTGGGAACCACCCTGGGGTGGGTGCTGACCTGGTAGGTGAAATGCTGGGTTGAGATGCCTGGTGGCCGGTTCTTAATGGCCACTTGGATGGGCCCTGTGGTGCCATTGGGGGCGGGAGCCGTCACACACACAATCCTGGGGAATGGAGGCCTGGGAGCTGCTCAGGGCTCCCATGGACCAGGCCCGTCTTCAGCAGGAGCCGGGGGCCACCTGCCAGCCACCGCCCAGAACTCCCACCTCCACCTCGCTGCCACCCCTCTCACTGCCAGCCGCTGCTTCCTTCCCCCGGCTCGTCTTCCTTCCTTCCACATTTCTTGGCTGCAAGCTCCCCTTCTCTCTGGGTAGCCGCCCTCTGAGGGCTTCCCCAGGAGGGCGTCCCTCAGCCCCTGGCAGCTCGGATGGCTCACCGGGCAGAGGTGCGGTAGAGAGAGGGCTCCGGGCTGCAGGGGCGGCCAGCCACCTTCACAGCATCTTGTACCTCAGCAAAGTCCCGGCCCAGGTTGGAGCCCTGGATGGTGAGGGCCAAGCCACCCTCGGGGGGCCCGGTTAGGGGCTCGACCTGCAGCAGGGAAGGGTGGCCCGAACCCACATCTGCTCTGCCGTGGGGGTACCCCACCAGCCAGCCTGGGGCAGGACTGAGCTGCCGGGGCTTGGGGGCCTGAGCAGGGTGGGTCTGACCCAGGTGAGGTTAGTGCAGTGCGAGGGGGAGGGGCGGGGCTGATGGGGAGGAGGTCGGAGGCTGGGGGCTCACTGTGTCAATGCTGGGAGTGGGACACAGCAGCTCCACGGCGCCAGGGGGGCACAGAGGACCGTAGCGACAAGCAGGCTGGCCGTGGCTGCACCACACGCAGCGCAGACGCCCACTGGCTGCCTGGCAGCGGCTGCAGTCAGGGTGGTCCACGGCGCAGTCGTACAGGGTCACTGAGGAAGGTCAGGCAGGGCGCTGAGGCACCGCCCCTGCCCCCCACCAAGTCCTACCTGCCCCTGCCACCCCCAAGCTCACCATGGAGAGTGCGGGCGTTGTCCAGCCGTTGGCCCTTGTCCCGGGTGACATAGATGGGCACCGGGAGCTCCCGCTGCGCCATGGAGGGGCGGAACTATGGGCAGAGTGTGGGGTCAGGCCGGGCCCAACTCCGGACAACCCTGACCCCTGTCTCCTCCAGGACACTCCTCCCAGAATGGGTGCCCTTGTTCAGTGCCCACGTCTCCCACCGGACTGCAAGCCTAGGGCAGAGGATGGGGTGCCAGGTTCCTGCTGCATGCCCAGGGCCTGCACAGAGCCTGCCTTGTGAGGGACGACAAGATGCGGAGGGCAAAGAACAATCTGGGAGGCAACATGTGTGGGGGCATGAGGGCCGCAGAGAGCAGCCGGGGGCAGGAGAGGCTGCTGGGCGGCCACACACCTGCTGGGCCTGGCAGTGGATGAGGCCCACGTCCCCCGCCATCTCCTCCAGAGAGGCCGGCAGCCTTCGAAGTTCCCCGGGCAGCTCCAGCCAGCAGTGGTAGGAGGCAGGCAGGCTCTGGGAGTGGACACTGTCAGGACCCTGGACGCGGTCAGCGCCCCCCACCAGCCCTCCCCATCTGCATTCCCCGCTCACTCCGAAATGCTGAAGGTTCCGCACACGCAGGGCCAAACGGCTCTCCCAACCCACAGGCACTAGGAGGGGACCGGCCAGGCCCTCCACACGGGGACAAGCCCCTGGGCCACGCACCTGGATGTCCACCTGCAGAAAGGAGACACTTTAGCCCTTTGGCAGGAGAGGGGGCTGGGCAGGGCACACGTGGGGTGGGTGCGCAGTGGCAGCGGGGCGGGGGCGGGGGCGGGGGCGGGGGCGGGGCCCACCCACCTCCTGGACACTGTAGATGGTGTCCTCGCCCTCGGGGCAGTGCTCCCCGTACACGCAGCGGTTGCTCTGGGAGCACCAGTGGCAGCGCCAGAGGCTGCCCACACAAGCACGGCACCTGGAGGGGCAGGGGGCTGCTCAGGCGGGGCGCCCTCTGGGCTCGCCGCCCCTCTGCAACCACCAGGCCCAGCACTCACGGGGCTGCCGCCTCCAAGGCCTGGACGGCGCTGCAGTCGTAGAAGGAGAAGTTGGTGGTGGCCACGGCCACATCCTCAAACATCAGAGCCAGGGGCAAGGTGACATGGTCTGGGAGGGGACGGTGGTGGCAGGGCGGGTCACGGGGCTCCTGCCCCTCTGGCTCCTGCCCCAGCCCCTGGCCCCCGGCCCCAGGGGCTCCTCACCTGTGCCTGGAGGGTTCAGCGGCAGCTGGTCTTCGGGAGGGGTGACGCAGGCTACGTGGGGCCCTTCCACATGAGCCAAGCTGTCATAGTCCCCAAAGGCACAATGGAAGTATTCATCCATGGCCAGGGTGGGCAGCCAGGGGACAGACAAGGTGACCTGGGACACACGTCAAGGAAAACAGAGCAGGCAGGGGCTCCTCGGTAGGGGGATGTGGTGGGTGTCAGCAAAGGAGAGGGAGCTCGGGCACAGTGGGGTAGGAGCAGAGGCAGCGGGAGAGGAGGAAGACAACGGGGGCAGTTTGTGGGCAGCCCCCATAGGTGGGCAGCGGCGGGCAGCTCACCTGGCCCTGCTCCTGGCGGGGGCGGTGGGCTGGCAGCAAGCTCTGGACGTGCGGGCAGCGGCCATCCTCATAGCTCCACAGCCACTGGTTGGCCTGGGCTGCCCGCCCACATTGGCCCTTGGAAGTACACCTGTAGGGCCAGGGGCCATTGGGTTGGCATGTGGGTCTCAGGCTCCCCAGGCAATGGGTGGCGAGAGGGCCTGGAGGATGGCCCAGCTGGAGTATGTTACCCAGGTATGGGGGACAGAAAGGGACAGTGCTCATGAGGGATGGGCCAAGCAGATAGGGCCTCGCGGCCAAAGTGCGGGCTTTGGCCTTGACCGTGAGTAAGAGGGGGGCCGCTGCTGTGGAGGGGAGGGTTGCCGTAAGGGGTTCCTGGAGCAGAAGTGGGACGGGAACACCTGGGAGAGGCGGCAGGGGCCTGACCAGGGAGTGGAGCTGGGTAATGAGAAGACAGCAGCTTGGGCCGTGTGGGGCAGGACGGAGGGATTCCGCGGTGGCCCTGTACCTCCATCTCTGGAAGCCGAGCTGGCCTCCTGGCAGGCCTGAGGCTGCCCTCCCCGCACACACCACCTGTTGGCCCAAGTCCGGACCCAGGCCCTGCGCTCACCTGCCTTGGAGGACACACCAGCCGCACAGCGGGTCTCGAGCCTGCAGGCAGCTGGCACAGTCAGAGAACTGGGGGCAGGCAGCCACAGGCACCCGGTCCACCTGGGTGGGCAGCGAGGGGCAGAGGTAGTAGGCGCTGGGCCTCGGGCCTTCTGTGCCCACCACCCCCACCCCCAGGGACAAGCCTCACCTGCTGGGCAGTCAGGACATAGAGGTGGTGGCCACTGCTGTCCACCAGCAGGTCTGGCCTGATGGCTGAGCCTGGAGGCCCCACTTGCTGGGAGTGATACACTTGGCCTTGGGAGCCATTGAGAAAGACCTGGAGGGACGACAAGGCCTGCTCTTAAGATTTGTGGTATGTGCCCTGCTCTTGTTTGGGGCTCCCAGGGAGCCTCCTGTGGCACAGGGCCAGCTCTCCTTCCTGCTATACCAGGGAGGCCAGGCTGGGCCACGGAGGGTGGGGCAGGCCCCTAGGCCTCCTGCATGGCTCCCCTCCCCTCCCCCATTCACCATCACCCAGCCACTCTGGGTAAGGACCTCAGTGCCGGGGCAGGAGGGCAGGTGCAGGGAGCTAAGCAGGGCTTAGCTAAGCAGAGACTTCTGGGGCCAGACTGGCTCTGGGACCAGGCACTGTCCACCCCCACCCTGTGGCATCCCCGCCCACCTTGACCGTCAGCTCCCACCATCGGCTGGAGCCCGGGCAGCCTTCCTAAGTTCTGCAACTAGGAGCCCCAGGAGGTGGCACCCAGCCAGCCACCCATGTGCGGCATGGCCTTTCGACCAGCTGGCGGGACACAGCCTGAGAGGTCAAGGTACCTGGGGCTTCCCCGAGCCACCTCAGGGCCGGGCCACACCCGGTTAAAGCAGCAAGGGTGGGCCCTGCCCAGCTCCGAGAGGCCTTGGTGTTGGGGTCTGGGACCAGGGCAGGCCCCTCACCTTACCTTATGCAGCTGACCCTGGGTGTCCCCCAGGAAAGCAATCATATGCCCGTCTGTCTGGAGGCCTGCCACGGCACTGATGGGCTGCTCGAGCTGCAGCACGGGCTTGGCCTCCAGGGGCTGACGGCCAGCGATGGGGCTGGGGGTGTGCTCATCGCCGCAGGGGTATGACTCCGGGGAGTCCTGGATGGGCAGGGAGGGGAGGATCAGTCCCGGCAAGAGGCAGGAGGCAGGAGGTACCTTCCCCGGGGCACAGAGCAAGCCCAGGCCGGAGGGTAGGGCCAGGGAGCCTTGTGGGGGGCAGGGCAGATTGGTCAGGGTCCTAGCCTCACAGCAGGACAAGCGGACACTGCAGAGGCAGAAAGACTAAAAGAGCCGCTAAGAGCCCGCTCCTCCTTGACATCCTCTGACCAGGATTATCACCCGACAGTGCCCAGCCCCCCGCAGCCCAGACTAACAGATAGCAGTCCCTGCCTTGGGGCCGAGACACGGTGCAGGGGGATGGGGACAGAGAGGCAAGCCAGGCCGGACGAGGCCGAGAGAGACAGCAGGAGCCGAGCCGAGGGTGAGCGGGGCCACTCACGGCAGGCAGGGCGACGCAGCGGGACGTGACCCCGTACTCCACGGTGGCCTCCTCCAGGCCGCTGGGGCCACGGCCGCCAGCCGTGTAGCACAGGCGCCGCGCGCGCTCCATGCTGCTGTCCAGCTCGGCCAGCGGGAAGGCACACAGCGCGGGCCGGGCCCCGCCGGGGCCTGCAGCGAAGGCGGCCAGCAGCGCGCCGGGCGTGAGGGAGGCGGCCTGGATGAGGCCCTGACCCCGGCAGGCGAGGGGCACCTCCACGTAGGAGTAGAGGTTGGCGTCCCCCAGGCAGACGCGGGCCACGTACGAGCGGTACTCGGCTTGCGCCCGGGCCCCGCGGCGGCGGAAGACGAAGTAGGCCGAGCGGGCGTCGGAGAAGGCCGCCACGTAGCTGTTGTTGTAGTCGGAGAAGTCGCCCACCACGAGGCGGCCCAGGCCCTCGCTGGAGAAGGGCTGCGGCCCGGCCAGCTGGCGCACGGTCAGGGGCGGCACCCCGCCCGACAGCTTGCCCGCCAGGCCCCTGGCCACCAGCAGGAGGTCCCGGCCCGGCGCGGCCACCACCAGGCCCACTGTGGCGACACCCGGGGCGTTGGCAGCCACGAACTGCCCGTCGCCGGGGTCCTCAGCCTGGTACAGCACCTGCGCCACGTCCTCCAGGCCGCGCTTCTCGCACACGCCCTGGCGCGCCTGGCCGCAGGCCACCAGCTCCTGCGCGCGGCCGCTCACCAGCAGCAGCTGGTTCGTGTTGTCCGTGAGCCGCGCCTGCGGGCAGTCGGCCGGGTCGCGGAACGGCACGCAGTCGGGGCTGTCGAAGACCGGCCCGGTGACCGCCACCGCCTGGAGCCGCAGCTCGGGGCTGAGCTGGAAGAGGCGGTTCACGGCGCCCACGTAGAGCGTGCCGCGGCCCGGCGCCAGCGCCAGGTGGTTGAACGTGGTGTTGGGGGCCGAGAAGCGGAGCGCCCGCGGCGGGGGCGGCAGCGGCAGGCACAGCAGAAGCACCCGCAGGAGGCGGGGCCCCAAGGGACACCAGGGAGTCATCGCGCGCGGGCACCTGCGGGGGAGAGCGGAGCCGAGGGAAGAGCGGGTGGAGAGAGCACGCGGGAGGGAGGGAACGATCCGGAGAGTAACAGATCCGAAGGGAAGGGAGAGGATGGAGAAAGAGACCGAGGGAGACAGAAAAGGAGCAGAGAGAGAGAGTCCAAGGGATGGGGGGGTTGGGGGGGCCCACGGGTGCCCAGGGAAAGAATTGCTTCCATCTCCTTTTTATTTGTCTAGATTGTTGGAGGGGGCAGATCCTGAAGAGCCGTGGGAACAGGAACAGAAGGACTCCCAGGGACAGAGGGGCAGTGCCAGAGAGGGGAAAGGGCAGGAGAGGAAGACAGCATAGGGGAGAAGCAGGAGGCTCTGATGGGGGGAGATGGGGGGGACAGAGGGGGGGGGCGCCCCCAGGGGGGGGGGGGGGGGGGGGGGGGCAGGACAAGGAGGAGGACAACCATGAAGAAGCGCAAGGCCACCATGCAAGGGGAGGGGGACACCCATAGCACAAGGGACGTGAAGGGCAGGGAGAGAAAACTTGCCCTGGGCAGGCAGGGCCAGCTGTAAGGAGGGACTGATGCCACAGGGGAGAATGAGTGCGGGGAGGGAGAGGGAGCCAGGGAGAAACTGAGGCAGCCAGAGAACGGTAGGCTAGAGGGCTGGGAGGCGGTCAGAGCAGGGGCTGGGGGAGACCCGAGGGCCAGGCGGAGTGGGGGCAGGGGGAGACAATGGGGAGGGCACGGAAAAGCAACACAAGGTGCAGGGCGAGGGGCAAGCCTGGGCCCCAGCCCCTGAGGGTGTTGATGGGGTGGCAGGAGAGAAAAGAGAGGGGGAAGCCTGACTGAGGAGAGGACGGTCAGGGGGAGGGAGCAAGGCATGGGCACCCCTGCCTCCCCACAAGGAGCCATTCAGAGCTCAGACTAAAGGTATCTGCTGAGGGCCAGGTGGGGGCCCCAAACCTCCTGAGAAGGCTTGAGCGGGGCCCCTGTGGGCCACCTCCCAGCCAGGAGCCATTAGCCAAGGCCCCTGCTCGGCACCCTTGGGCCCCAGCTGGCTGCAGAGGTGACCAACACAGAAAGACACCCCACACCAGGCAGGGCCCCTGGGTACAGGACCACAGAGAAGGGGACAGAAGCCAGGCCCTCAGTAGAGCTAGGGTCCTGCCCAGCTGGGCATGCGGGCACGTGCCAGCCAGGAGCAGGCCTGCTGTCACTCAGTGCCCCGCAGCTTGGCAGGCGTGCCAGCTGGAGGCAGAGCCCTGACAGAGGCCCAGACGGAGGCCCCAAGGCCCTTTATCTTGGGAACACAGACAGGAAGGTCAGGCCCAGCTTGGGGACGGGGGCATTTCCTCTCAACCCGGGATATCGGCGGCAGTGTCTGGGGGTTGTGGCTGAGGGGGTAGAGGTACACAGCACCAGGGGCCCCAGGCTCCCTGGGACTGCCTGGCCGGCCTGGCCTGGCCCCTCCCAGGGGTGTCTCTGCAGATAGGGGCCCCGGGCACTTACCGCCTCAGAGGGGAGCAACGGAGGGGTCTCCTGGGCAGTGTGGTACCAAGAGAGGAGCTTCTCCGTTCAGCAGGCCCAGGGCACTGGTGACAGGCACAGGACGGCTGTGGGGGGCATTGTCCAGAGTGGGAGGGAGACTGCTGAGGCTTGGCCCTGGGGGAGGAGGGAGGCCAGGGGGGCCAAGGGCCGGGTGGCTGGGCTCCCCCACAGCTGGCAGCTTTGTCCGTGGTGGCTGAGCCAACGCAGCCCTGCCTCCACCCCGACAATGTCCTCTCTGTCCGCAGGCCCGGGCCCGGACTCACTATCTGGTGCTCTTAACCCCACCCGGGCTCTTCTGGCCAGGGGGCTATTTGCCTCTCCCCACCCCCAGAGAGACACCCCCTGGGACCTGGGGACAAAGGACACGGTTTCTTCCAGCCAGAAAAATGAGACCCACACAGCCAGCCCCACCCCACTCCCAACCCGTGCCAGCCAGCGGGCTCCTCTCTGTGTCCCTCCCTCCCCCCACCCCGTCCCTGTGAAGGGCACAGGGTAGGCCACTGAGGCCCCCCGCCGGGAAGGTCAGGATGCTGAGCCCCTGCAACACCAGCCTCAGCCTCAGTAGCCTTGGCGCCTGGTTGAAGTGCCAGTCCTGGCCCTCAATGCCTGCCTTTGTCCAGGCTGGGGGCGGGGAGGTGCCATCCCACATCCTTGGCCCGGAATATGACTGGCCAGAGAGCAAGCGACCTGTCTCCATCCAGTCCTGCCTCAGGGGACTTGGGAAGTCGTGCCAGGTACGGCCCTGTTCCGGAGGATGCTGCTGGACGAGGCACTGGATGGGGTGGGGGGCGTAGCCCCCAGGAACCCTGCGCTTGGCTCAGGCGTGGCAACTGGCTGCCAGCTGTTCCCTTCCCCCTCCCCCCGGGGAAACACCATCCCAGGATGGGCCTCAGGCTCCCCTCCCTGCCTGGGGTGCTGAAGGCGGTGGGGAAGGGAGTGGCGAGTGGCAGCTGGCTGTCCTGCCCACCCCCAGGGCACCATCTGCACGTGACGCAGGCAGAGCTGGGGGCCCTGGCCTGGGGTGCTGGGGCAGGCGCACTTGGGTTGGGGGCTCTGCTTTCTCCATGGTGCGTGGCGGTAGCAGGCTCAGCAGTAGGCTCCGGGCTCCAGGGTGAGGTGGTGGCAGCTGTGGGGCTCACTGCCACCTGGCTGGGCCGGTTAGATGGCTGTGGGGGTGGGGAGCCAGGCGGGCCTCCTCCCTTCCCTGGGCCCGGCCCCTGGCCCCCAGCCCTGCCAGCTTTCCCATTTGGGGTTAAAAGCCTGGGGGTCCTCCCTCCCACCTCCAGGGCCACAGCCTCAGGGGGGAGCATGTCCCTAAGGCATCAGGAGCTGGGGTCTCAGGGCTTGGACTGGTGCCCGAGGGCCTTTGCCCTGTTGGGCAAGTGGGCTCTGCAGACCCTGGGCTTCTCCCAGGTCCCAGCACGCCCCGAGGCGGCGCCCCAAGATCCAGCGGCCCTCGCACCCCTCACCCTCGCCGGCCCCAGCTCCTGCCTACCTGGGTGGGCCGCTGGCAGGGGCTGAAGAGCAGCTGGCAGTGCCAGAAGTGCGTCCCCGCAGAGCCCCGGCCTCCGTCCCCACAATGCAATCGCGCCCAACCCAACTTATCCTGGCGGGGCCTGCCGGGCTGCCCAGCCCCTCCCCGCCCGCCCATTTGCCTGACGGTGCAGGGCAGGGCGCTGCTGCCCTCTGCCGGCCATGGTGGGCACGACGCAGGGCCAGCCATGCAAACCTGGCTGGGGCAGGTGAGAGCGGGGCCGCCCCCTCAGCCGGGCGGGTAGGGTAGCAGGGCGCTCCCTAGCCTTCCACTAAGTGCCTTGCGGTGGCAAAGAGATGCAGCCCACCGCCACCTGATCCAAGAGTCTCAGAACCCTGCTTGCCAACAGATGAGGCTCCATGGCCAGAAGAGCCCACCTGTGGAGGGAGGACACAGGGGGGCCCCAAGGAGGGGAGCCAAGTCTCAGGGAGAGCTTCACAGAGGAAGTGAGATTTAAGCTGACCTTGAACCACACAGTTCTGCTCCTACTGATGTCTTCCTGACAACCAGGGCTGGTCTAAGTGTTCTGTGTACGTGAACTCATTCACTCCTTCTGATGACCCCGGAGGGGGTACAGTTATTTCCTCCAGTTCACAGGTGGGGAAACTGACGCACGGGAGGTTGGAGGCAGCAGGGGCGGGGGTGCTGGTGGGGGCGGGGGTGGGTGGCGCAGGGAAGGACAGGAGGACCGAGGGGTCCCTAAGGCAAGAGGAGATGGCCAACGGAGTTGTTGGGTTCTTAGCATAAAAAGCACATCCTGGGGTGGCTGGAGCACTGGGACGAGAGTGGGTCGCTAGAGGGGACCTGGAAGGGAGACCAAGGGTGTCCAGGGAGGTGAATGACCCAGATCCTGAAGACCCAGGAAATGTGGACATAGATGTGACTGCCTCCATCCATGCACCCTCTAAGGGGCCAAGAAGGGGCGCAGGAGGGATCTAGAAGCTCCTGGAGGGACAGACTGTTGAGGAGGGCCGCCGTGGGGGAGGCGGGGGGAGGGACTCCAGACAATAGGACTGGAAGGACTGTCCCTCAGCAACCCCATAGGCAGCTGGCCCTCTCTCCCCAACCCCATCTGTCCATCCACCTCTACACCTAACACATATGTGTCCCTGGTGACCTTAGGAAAGACAGACGTCTTCAAGCTCAGCAGTGAGAACATTTTTCCTACCTTGAAGAAAAGAAATCCTTCTCCTCCCTCCCCCCACGGCCCTGTAGAGATGTATTTGCGATGATCCCCACAGATCTCGCATTTATCAGGGTCCCTGGGAAAGGCGGGGAGGCAGCCTCTGCTGGTCTGAGCCCCCGGGGTGCTGTGCTGACGCTGACGCTGACTGCCGAGCACAAGGGTCCTAGACGCTGGAAGGAGGCTCACGGGGTCCCCAGGCCGTGTGCACTTGGAGTCTGCTGGGCCTGGAGGGGGCTCATTTTCCAAGCTGGTTTCCCACAGCAGCCACCGCACAGACACTTACTTCTGTTCACCCCATCTTGGCCGCCGTGCGTGCTTCGGGCTTTTCCTTGGTCCTTCCGGTCAGTTCTGTGGGTGTGGGATGGTGACGTCCCGCTGGGCATCTCACGGGCATCCCCGGGGCTACCAGCGGGTGGGGCTTTTTTTTTTTTTAATATTTTATTTATTTATTTGACAGAGAGATCACAAGCAGGCAGAGAGGCAGGCAGAGAGAGAGGAGGAAGCAGGCTCCCCGCTGAGCGGAGAGCCCGATGCGGGGCTTGATCCCAGGACCCAGGGATCATGACCTGAGCCGAAAGCAGAGGCTTTAACCTACTGAGCCACCCAGGCGCCCCAGCGGGTGGGGCTTCTTTACGTTCCCTTTTCGGCAAAATGGCCTGAGCAGGTCTTGGCCCAGTTTTTGATGTAGGTTGTCTTTTCCCCACTGTTTGCAGGGACTCTTTATATGTTCCGGTACCAG